ACCTGGGTGTTGAGAAAGTTCTCTTTTTCTCTTGTTGTTCTTGAATAATAAATGTGATAGATTATGTCATTATGTAAACAAATCATACCACGGGTGGGGTTTGAACCCGCGGTCAGAGAGTCTCGAGTTTCGAGACTCACTGTTCGCGGGTTCAAACCCCACCCGTGGTATGATTTGTTTGCAATAGTGTCATTACGATTTCGTGAGTCATTGTGGTAACGTTTCGCTCTCACAGAGCTCCTGAAGAGCGAAATGTTGCCACTCTAAAATGTCGCATTAGTTGCACTTGTGACCTTTTAGCTAACATATTGTCCGTAATTCTACCAACATTAGTACTATGTATATTCTTTGGTTCTGTTCTGTGGTGTCTGTAAGGTGAATAGAGGCTCTTCAAGACACCCTCGTGTGGTCTTTGGTGTTCTCTAAATATATTATCTGTGTTTTCTGCCAAACCACGAGGTGAGACCGATGGATCCAATGAGCCATAACAGATGTCATTAGTCTGGTGGCGTCTTCGTGACGGTGTGACTGAAGATAGGAGGCTCTTTCACCGAAATCGTATATTTTTTTCATCTGATACATGGGAGGTTGTAAATCTCTGCTGTTTTTGTGTTAATGTTGTGTTAATGTTGGGGATTTCGTGGTATGGACTTCTACATTCTGTGTGTGTGTGTGTGTGTTTGTTTGTTCTTGTCGAGTCTTAGCTCTTGGCACCGCCTATTACCTGCTATCGATCACTTTTACAGATTTTAGTTTGTAGATGAATGGTTCAGAGAACCGCCATGTTGATAAATTAGACACATGTGCAACTCTTGGGTATCTTTATTGAGGAAACGTTTCGCCACACAGTGGCTTCATCAGTCCTCCTGTTCTTCAAGATTCTCCTTTGTATGGACTGATGAAGCCACTGTGTGGCGAAACGTTTCCTCAATAAAGATACCCAAGAGTTGCACATGTGTCTAATTTATCAACAGATTTTAGTGTCTGTGAGATCCTCTGCTAGTGAGCATCATTGTGTTCTGTCTCCCAGAGTGACTACAGAGTGATCGCAAAGTGACCAAAGAGTGATCACATAATTTTCTGTCTCCCAGAGTGACCACAGAGTGCAGCTCTCATCCTCGTGAAGTTACTCAAGGAGATGAAGTCAGCTCGACTTTCCTGGTGTCAGGACAATGGTAGTCTTCATCCACTCAAGAGCTCCCTTGTCTCCACACAATTTTCATTGTTTGCCAAGTCTCCGGAAACCCGAACTGACAATATTAAAAAGAATGAAGGAATGTAGGGAAAAACAATGTTTGAGCCATGGGAGAGGAGAAACGTGGCAACAGCTGCTGTTCCTCTAAAAACAAAAGCGAAGCTTGAATAGGTGGTAATAAAAAGAGAAAATTGGGAGGAAATTGTATGTTAGTTTTGGGTAAATGAGAACTCAACAAATTAATAAAATCTAAAGAAATTAGAGTTGTTATTATGTTAATTTTGTTTTGGTTTAATGTATGGTGTCGATGTTTGTGAGTGTGTGTACTCACGTAATTGTAATTGGGTCGAGTCATAGCTCCTGGCCCCGCCTCTTCACTGATCGCTACTAGGTTCACTCTCTCCCTGCTCCATGAGCTTCATCATACCTATTCTTAAAGCCATGTATGGATCCTGCATCCACTACATCACTCTCCAGACTGTTCCACTTTTGTGTTTACTCACCTAGTTGTGGTTGCGGGGGTCGATTCACTGCTCCTAGCCCCGCCTCTTCAACTGGCCGCTACCCTGTCACAATTCCCGCTCCGTGAGCTTTATCATACCTCTTCTTAAAGCTATGTATGGATCCTGCCTCCACTACATCACTACCCAGGCTATTCTACTTTCTGACTTTTCTGTGACTGAAGAAATACTTCCTAACATCCCTGTGGTTCATCTGAGTCTTCAGCTTCCAACTGTGACCCCTTGTTGCTCTGTGTGTGTGTGTGTGTGTGTGTGTGTGTGTGTGGCACTTACAGCAGGGAAGGTGGCAGCCAGGCTGGCAGTGCCGTAGGGAAGGGGTTGTGGCACTTACCTTTCGTGTGGGTAGCAGTGACAGTCAGAAGGGTAGCAGCCACGGGGGTGGACTCAGAGAGAGTCACACAGTAGCGAGGCTCAGAGAACTCCAGCGGCGCAGCTCCTGGCCCAGACAACAACCTCGTTGCTGTCAACAAAACAACAACACTGTCATTACACTCCAGAATAACGTCAGCATTTTCAGAAAAGTTAAGAAAATTTACCTATTTTGTATAAAATTATCTTAAGTTGCTCTGTTAATTTAGTACCAGTTAAAAAATAAAATAATTAAGGGATCCTTATTATTATTATTCATTTTTTTGCATATATGTTTTTTGTAATTAACTGAATAAAATTCGAGGTAAAAACAATTTGAGATTTGGAATTTTAAAATGCATTGTAAAGTTAACTAATTATGTTAACCAGTGGAACATATCAATTATTTTCCTTATTGTTAGGCCTAATATAGAGATTCCCTCGTCAAAAATAATTAATGCATATTCTGGTGAGTTATCAAATGTGATATCTTAGATTTGTAAACATATCGGTGTGTGTGTTTGGTTAGTATAATATGGTAACTGTGGTTTGCGATTAATATGTTTTAAATTACTTGGCGTTCATCACACAATCACTTTTTGCATTCCCTCAGTACCAGCCAAACTGGAAGTTAGGTTGGAGTAGCTGTAAAGGGGCCCCGGCTGCTCTCATCAACTGTCACGTTTATACATTAACTGGATGAGAGCTTCCCCCCAGCTGGATTGATGTTATGACTGGAGTCATAGCATCAATCTTCGTCTACCTGAATTCGTAATAGTACCCATATTAGATTTTATTTTAATAGTGATCATCATGTAGTTTTAGAGCATGACATGACTACAAGATCTATTTGTGTCCACCTGAGGCAGAGGACTGGCTGATGATCAATGGGGCTGTTTATCGACACGGGAACCATAATGGAGTGATAGGAACAACCGTCACCAGGGTTATGTTTGTATTTAGTATCAAGATGGTCGTGGCTGTGAGTATGGCTGTTATTTTCAGTGGTTGGACGGGTTTCTCTATGTGCGTTTTTATCATCTTAAGTGTTAGATGATCGTGGTTGTGATCATCTTCGTCGCGTTGAACGTGTAATCAATTAAGCTGCTGCGGAAATGCAAGACGGTGGATTTAATCGTCCAGGATAACCAATGTCAACATCCATGCCTTTTGTAGATCGTATCTGGTGTGTGTGAGACGCCATTACTGGTGGTGGAGGCTAGGGGGTGTGGATGGAAGCTGGTGCTGGTGATGGAGGCTGGAGGAGTGGGTGGAGACTGATGCTGGCGGTGGAGGCTGGTGTTAAAGGTGAATCCTGGCGGAGGAGATGAAGGCAAAGGCTGATGTTGGAGGTTGGAGCAGAGTGATGGCATAATAAAAGTTACTCATGGTGTTCTTCCCTCTATTAAGACGCCAGGGAGGGACCCATGAAGACGTCTGAGAAGAATCCAGGGACACGTCAAAGAAGGGCCCATGAACATGCCAGGGAAGAATCCAGGAACACAAAGAGAGTGAGGATAATCAATAAATTAATCGAGGAACGAATGTAGACTTTTGGTGAATGAAGGAAATGAGAAATGAATTTGTGAATGTCTGAGAATTCCTGAGAACTGAGTAACTCAAGTCACCACAGAACTGTAGCCGCACCTAAAATAGAATTCTTTGGCTGAGACGACTAAAGATATGTAACTCTACTACAGAGCTGAGTGGCTGAAAGTTCCAGCGAACTTGAAGTGAAAAACAGTTATTCCGTCATGTCGATTAGCGAACAAGCAACGTAGACAACTATCACTCGACATCAACACGGGGTATAAAAAAAAACAAGTTTTAAGTGAAAAATATTAGAAAGAAAACACTTACTCAGTGATATTCATGAGTACAAAGACTTTAGGCGTGATCGATACTCAATGGATGGAAATTTGTGCTAAGTACCACAGACTATGTCCTGTACGTTAAACCTGCGTTAACAAAAACCCTTCCTTTTTTTTTTAACATAGTCGAATTGGCAGGTAAAGAATTCCTATCGTACCTCAGCTCATTTCAAAGGCCAGTCCTACGTAAAGTATACTAACACTCTCCCTGGAATGCAAACCAGAACAGCTAGTTAACATCCAGGTACCTACACACTTGTGCAACGCTTGGGTATGTTTACTGTGGGAACGTTTCGCCAACCAGTAGCTTCCTCAGTCCAATACAGAGGAGAATAGAGTTTAAGGTAATCAGTTTGATTACCTCAAACTTCATCTGATTTTCAACCAATCTTCTCCGTATTGGACTGATGAAGTCACTGGTTGGCGAAGGGTTGCTAAAGTAGAGATACACAGGTGTTGCACATGTATCTAATTTACCAGCTTGTTGGTTCTCTGAACCATTTATCTACACTCAGGTACCTACTTACTGCTAGGTGAACAAAGAAAACAGTGTAAGGAGTCTAATAACCAGGTACCTACTTATTGCTAGGTGAACAAGGACAACGGGTGTAAGGAGTACTAACACCCAGGTACCTACTTACTGCTAGATAAACAAGGACAACAGCTTCAATGAAACAGAAACCAAAATTTCCACTATCGACAAGGTTCGAACCCTGGTAACCTCAGTCGTGAGTCAGAGGCACTACCACTGAAGAGATATACCAAAGAAAGGATGTATTACCTCAGTCAACACATGGTCTCAGCTGCAGATTTTGGCTTTTCTAATCAATAGAAACCATGAAAAAATACTATATGATTCATTACACTATAATGGAAGATATTTTTTTGACAATCAGATACGCTTAACATATTGTAAAACGCAACTAATCTTCTGGAACCATTACTCTGTTACTCGTGACTGGAACGTCATTTCGTTTTGTCCTTAAGACTTGTGGGTGAGAGGGGAAGCTGTTAAATCAATGGTATCATGACTTTCATTCTATGCGGGGTACCAACATGTCCTAATTCTCATTTAAATTCTATTTATATGGCGAGATGAGTCAAGTTACCTAATTAAATATCGTAAACACGTCCAACAATGGTTGACACTTGATCAGCCAATATCGTAATTAGCCTCGTTAGTCGAGGCATCCCAGAGGAGCACCGAGGCTGCAGCAGGGAGGCTGGGAAGACACACAAATGCTGTGTAATGCGATCATTTATTAGCAACGTTTCGCCCACACAGTGGGCTTTATTAGGTCAATAAAGGCTGGCATTGTATTGCATTTGTGTCTTTTTAATTACCACCGTGACAGTATTTTGTGTCGTCTGTGTTTAACACGAGAGGAAGCTGGAGGAGCGACCCTTGTTATGCTAGCTACGTTATTACCGCGATGAGCTGGGGGTGAGAGAGTACCACTGAGATGAGAGTGCCAGAGAGCTGACGATCTGAGAGTACCACTGAACTGAGAGTGCCAGAGAACTGACGATCTGAGAGTACCACTGAACTGAGAGTGCCAGAGAGCTGACAGGTGGAGTCAGAGAGCAGCAGAGACAGTGGCTGGATACCAATACCAACAAAAATATTCCTACTTGTTGATCAAACAAACTATTTAGCTGAGGGACTGATTATATCACCTTCACTTTGCTGCCTCTGTATTTAACCGAAGAAGCCTGCCGTGTAGGCGAAACGTTTCGACAATAACGATACCCATCTGTTACACATGTTTTATCGACATGAAATATTATACCAAGCTGGCAAAGTTATTTAGAAAAGTGAAAATCTTCAGTAGATTAGAACTAAGCTTCAAAATTTGTGTTGATATCACATCAAGTCAAATAATCTTCAGATTTTCTTAATAATGATATTACAATTATTTAGAGTCTTATGCTCTAAGAATCATGGAATTTAAATGTGAAGATGTAAGTATCATGGTAATGTAAGATGATTAATAAATATGGGAAAATCAGTTCCTTAGGGAGAAGAGAGTGAAGACAGAAACACCCTCACTCCCCACCCACCCACCACCACACACACACACACACACACACACACACACACACACACACACATAAAAAAAACACAAAGCTAATACCAGTTTCCTCTGTCTCTCTTCTCCAGACAGGAGAACTCCCAAATGTAAACACACTGCCCCATCCCCACTCCTGATATGCACACTCATTCAACTGTACCAGTCATCCAGCTGCACCAGCCACCCAGCTGCACCAGTCATCCCAGCTGCACCAGTCATCCAGCTGCACCAGTCATCCAGCTGCACCAGTCATCCAGCTGCACCAGTCATCCAGCTGAGCCATTCAACACACCTGTACCCCAGTTCGAAAATGCGATCCTCTGCCTGGAAGCACCCCATAAACCCAACATAAGTGGCAATACATTGATACGTGGTCGTTCATCGAGGCCAACTGCCGCTTCCCTACCTGATACACATTATTAAAATAGCTGAGAGGTGAGCCCACTTGGGTGAAGTAATTGACGCTAAATCGCTCTTCTTCTTCTTTCTTGTGAACATTTATGGTCGTAGTTTTCAATGGTGTTTTACGGCAGTGCAGCGATATGTTGCCTGGTGTGTGTGTGTGTGTGTTGTGTGTGTGTGTGTGTGTGTGTGTGTATCGCTGGCTGGCGATATGATGCTTAGGTGCATTTCGTGTGTGTATATTTGCGTGTACATCTCGCGTGTGTATCTCGTGTGTATATCTTGCGTGTATATCTTGCGTGCATATCGTTGTACAGCTATATTTGATATCATGGTCCAATCAGCACATGTTTACACGGATATTACGTACACATGACCGCATGTATAATGTGTATTTATGAACACATGAATACACACACATGTACCAACCCTCTCCAGAATGTTATTCACGAACCAGCACAAAAACCTTAGTAAAAAACATGAATTACGAGAGTTCGTGGAGTATTCACATGTGTTCTAGATAATGTAACAAATTCCTCACGAAAGTGGTCGTATTTCGTGTTATTTTGGGCCTTCGTTATTTTGTTTGCACATACGTGTACACACGTGTGCACAAACACAATGCATATACGTACTCACGAACGTGTGTGCATAAATTCGTGAGACGGTGTTTGGATGACAAATGCAGGCACTTCAGAGCAAACTTCGTAAACAGAACTACGAACAGAACGGCCATCACGCAGTCGGGGAGAGAAAGAAAATGGTAACGAAATGGAAAAAAAGAAAGAACAATAGGAAAAATATTTAGCTAGGACGGGAGAAAATCCGTCTCGTTTTGCGCGTATTTACAGTTTACACATAAACATTCAACGGACGCAACGGGAATGTTCGTTTTCTGTTACGAACGCTGGATTACTACAGACAAACCAGTGTTCATATATGGAGAGGCTCAGTTATAACCCAGTGTAAACGGATAATGAATCTGTCTGTATATTTCGACCCCCTTACTAAGGTCCTCTTCAGCAGATGCGAAAATGAAAGGAGGTCATGGATGTATCATGTATATTTATGTTCATGTATAATCATGTTTTCTTTTTCTTATTGTATCCGCTGAAGAGGACCCCAGTAAGGGGTCGGAATATACACATAAATTCATCTTCCGAGTTTGTGTCGCCATGTGGGTAATTATTGAGCACTGACAAGTGTTCATTATAATTTTATTGGTTATTTGCACACGCATTATATATATATATATATATATATATATATATATATATATATATATATATATATATATATATATATATATATATATATATTATATATTTATTATAATATTAAATATATATATAATAAACTATATATTATATATGTTGAAACTTTACACTCAATTTTTAATAATTTGATTATTCTTAATCAAGTCGGCCTAGTTAAATATAGAGCCACTCAAATGACGTCAAATTAGTCCAATTAGTAAGAGAGAAATAAACGATATAAATTACAATGAAAAGCTAACTACAACTTTAGTGGTAGAGACAAACCCACATGGAGAAACAAAAACAGCATCTGAAGTGTAAATACTGCATATTTCGGTCTCACACTAAGACCCTCTTCAATGGACTTCTCAGTTAAAGAGGGCCTCGGTGTAAGGCCGAAATGAAGGTAGTCATTTCAAATGTTATTTCATTGTCCTCGTTTTATGTTCGTTTGTGGCAACGATCCATTGAGGAGGAGACTGGGGAGGGGAACTATTGATACCGACCCGGAGTTGGGACAGATACTCCGGTCTGCTCTCAGGTCTGTGTTGAAGATTCCATAGCAGGCGGTGTGAGTGGTGGTGTTGGGCTGTTAGATAAAGAATATGACACATGTGCAACTTCTGGGTATCTTTATGGAAGACGTTTCGCTAACCATAGTGCAGAACTATATACAAAAGATGAGGTAATCAGTCCCTCAGCTGTGGGACTGATTACCTCATCAGACTCCAGTTGCTCCTGCCCTAAGACTAACACTGAGACACAACCATCTAACCAGCGAGCTTCCCACACCAATATACTCCTAACCTCTTCCACCGCCTGTTCTCTCTACCTGTTGCTTCTATCCCTCTCCTGGTACTCTATTATTCCCCTATCCACCTCCGTTATGTGCTTCCGCAGCGCCACATTCACACACACCACATCCCCCCGTCACCATTTCCAAAACTGAATTGCAGTATTGTCTTCCCTCGTTCGGGTCTTTCAGTGTCCTCCCTCGTCCAGCTTCAACAGAAAACTCCATGTACATAGAAAGAGAAATATTCTTTTTCGCGAGTGTAATATTTTGAACTGGCAGAAACAAATGCGAGGTCGCGGCCCATGCCTCTTCTGTGTCTGCCAGTCCTTGTCTGGCGTCATGTGTTGGCAGCCCTTGTCTGGCGTCGTGTGTTGGCAGCCCTTGTCTGGCGTCGTGTGTTGGCAGCCCTTGTCTGGCGTCGTGTGTTGGCAGCCCTTGTCTGGCGTCGTGTGTTGGCAGCCCTTGTCTGGCGTCGTGTGTTGGCAGCCCTTGTCTGGCGTCGTGTGTTGGCAGCCCTTGTCTGGCGTCGTGTGTTGGCAGCCCTTGTCTGGCGTCTGTGTTGGCAGCCCTTGTCTGGCGTCTGTGTTGGCAGCCCTTGTCTGGCGTCTTTGTGTTGGCAGCCTTGTCTGGCGTCGTGTGTTGGCAGCCCTTGTCTGGCGTCGTGTGTTGGCAGCCCTTGTCTGGCGTCGGTGTGTTGGCAGCCCTTGTCTGGCGTCGTGTGTTGCCAGCCCTTGTCTGGCGTCGTGTGTTGGCAGCCCTTGTCTGGCGTCGTGTGTTGGCAGCCCTTGTCTGGCGTCGTGTGTTGGCAGCCCTTGTCTGGCGTCGTGTGTTGGCAGCCCTTGTCTGGCGTCGTGTGTTGGCAGCCCTTGTCTGGCGTCATGTGTTGGCAGCCCTTGTCTGGCGTCGTGTGTTGGCAGCCCTTGTCTGGCGTCTTGTGTTGGCAGCCCTTGTCTGGCGTCGTGTGTTGGCAGCCCTTGTCTGGCGTCTGTGTTGGCAGCCCTTGTCTGGCGTCGTGTGTTGGCAGCCCTTGTCTGGCGTCGTGTGTTGGCAGCCCTTGTCTGGCGTCGTGTGTTGGCAGCCCTTGTCTGGCGTCGTGTGTTGGCAGCCCTTGTCTGGCGTCGTGTGTTGGCAGCCCTTGTCTGGCGTCGTGTGTTGGCAGCCCTTGTCTGGCGTCGTGTGTTGGCAGCCCTTGTCGTGCGCTTGTCGGCGTGTGTTGGCAGCCCTTGTCTGGCGACGTGTGTTGGCAGCCCTTGTCTGGCGTCGTGTGTTGGCAGCCCTTGTCTGGCGTCGTGTGTTGGCAGCCCTTGTCTGGCGTCGTGTGTTGGCAGCCCTTGTCTGGCGTCGTGTGTTGGCAGCCCTTGTCTGGCGTCGTGTGTTGGCAGCCCTTGTCTGGCGTCGTGTGTTGGCAGCCCTTGTCTGGCGTCGTGTGTTGGCAGCCCTTGTCTGGCGTCGTGTGTTGGCAGCCCTTGTCTGGCGTCGTGTGTTGGCAGCCCTTGTCTGGCGTCGTGTGTTGGCAGCCCTTGTCTGGCGTCGTGTGTTGGCAGCCCTTGTCTGGCGTCGTGTGTTGGCAGCCCTTGTCTGGCGTCGTGTGTTGGCAGCCCTTGTCTGGCGTCGTGTGTTGGCAGCCCTTGTCTGGCGTCGTGTGTTGGCAGCCCTTGTCTGGCGTCGTGTGTTGGCAGCCCTTGTCTGGCGTCGTGTGTTGGCAGCCCTTGTCTGGCGTCGTTGTGTTGGCAGCCCTTGTCTGGCGTCGTGTGTTGGCAGCCCTTGTCTGGCGTCGTGTGTTGGCAGCCCTTGTCTGGCGTCGTGTGTTGGCAGCCCTTGTCTGGCGTCGTGTGTTGGCAGCCCTTGTCTGGCGTCGTGTGTTGGCAGCCCTTGTCTGGCGTCGTGTGTTGGCAGCCCTTGTCTGGCGTCGTGTGTTGGCAGCCCTTGTCTGGCGTCGTGTGTTGGCAGCCCTTGTCTGGCGTCTTGTGTTGGCAGCCCTTGTCTGGCGTCGTGTGTTGGCAGCCCTTGTCTGGCGTCGTGTGGTTGGCAGCCTTGTCTGGCGTCGTGTGTTGGCAGCCTTGTCTGGCGTCGTGTGTTGGCAGCCCTTGTCTGGCGTCGTGTGTTGGCAGCCCTTGTCTGGCGTCTTGTGTTGGCAGCCCTTGTCTGGCGTCGTGTGTTGGCAGCCCTTGTCTGGCGTCGTGTGTTGGCAGCCCTTGTCTGGCGTCGTGTGTTGGCAGCCCTTGTCTGGCGTCGTGTGTTGGCAGCCCTTGTCTGGCGTCGTGTGTTGGCAGCCCTTGTCTGGCGTCTTGTGTTGGCAGCCCTTGTCTGGCGTCGTGTGTTGGCAGCCCTTGTCTGGCGTCGTGTGTTGGCAGCCCTTGTCTGGAGTCGTGTGTTGGCAGCCCTTGTCTGGCGTCGTGTGTTGGCAGCCCTTGTCTGGCGTCGTGTGTTGGCAGCCCTTGTCTGGCGTCGTGTGTTGGCAGCCCTTGTCTGGCGTCGTGTGTTGGCAGCCCTTGTCTGGCGTCGTGTGTTGGCAGCCCTTGTCTGGCGTCGTGTGTTGGCAGCCCTTGTCTGGCGTCGTGTGTTGGCAGCCCTTGTCTGGCGTCGTGTGTTGGCAGCCCTTGTCTGGCGTCGTGTGTTGGCAGCCCTTGTCTGGCGTCGTGTGTTGGCAGCCCTTGTCTGGCGTCGTGTGTTGGCAGCCCTTGTCTGGCGTCGTGTGTTGGCAGCCCTTGTCTGGCGTCGTGTGTTGGCAGGCCTTGTCTGGCGTCGTGTGTTGGCAGCCCTTGTCTGGCGTCTTGTGTTGGCAGCCCTTGTCTGGCGTCGTGTGTTGGCAGCCCTTGTCTGGCGTCGTGTGTTGGCAGCCCTTGTCTGGCGTCGTGTGTTGGCAGCCCTTGTCTGGCGTCGGTGTTGGCAGCCCTTGTCTGGCGTCGTGTGTTGGCAGCCCTTGTCTGGCGTCGTGTGTTGGCAGCCCTTGTCTGGCGTCGTGTGTTGGCAGCCCTTGTCTGGCGTCGTGTGTTGGCAGCCCTTGTCTGGCGTCTTGTGTTGGCAGCCTTGTCTGGCGTCGTGTGTTGGCAGCCCTTGTCTGGCGTCGTGTGTTGGCAGCCCTTGTCTGGCGTCGTGTGTTGGCAGCCCTTGTCTGGCGTCGTGTGTTGGCAGCCCTTGTCTGGCGTCGTGTGTTGGCAGCCCTTGTCTGGCGTCTTGTGTTGGCAGCCCTTGTCTGGCGTCGTGTGTTGGCAGCCCTTGTCTGGCGTCGTGTGTTGGCAGCCCTTGTCTGGCGTCGTGTGTTGGCAGCCCTTGTCTGGCGTCGTGTGTTGGCAGCCCTTGTCTGGCGTCTTGTGTTGGCAGCCCTTGTCTGGCGTCGTGTGTTGGCAGCCCTTGTCTGGCGTCGTGTGTTGGCAGCCCTTGTCTGGCGTCGTGTGTTGGCAGCCCTTGTCTGGCGTCGTGTGTTGGCAGCCCTTGTCTGGCGTCGTGTGTTGGCAGCCCTTGTCTGGCGTCTTGTGTTGGCAGCCCTTGTCTGGCGTCGTGTGTTGGCAGCCCTTGTCTGGCGTCGTGTGTTGGCAGCCCTTGTCTGGCGTCGTGTGTTGGCAGCCCTTGTCTGGCGTCGTGTGTTGGCAGCCCTTGTCTGGCGTCGTGTGTTGGCAGCCCTTGTCTGGCGTCTTGTGTTGGCAGCCCTTGTCTGGCGTCGTGTGTTGGCAGCCTTGTCTGGCGTCGTGTGTTGGCAGCCCTTGTCTGGAGTCGTGTGTTGGCAGCCCTTGTCTGGCGTCGTGTGTTGGCAGCCCTTGTCTGGCGTCGTGTGTTGGCAGCCCTTGTCTGGCGTCGTGTGTTGGCAGCCCTTGTCTGGCGTCGTGTGTTGGCAGCCCTTGTCTGGCGTCGTGTGTTGGCAGCCCTTGTCTGGCGTCGTGTGTTGGCAGCCCTTGTCTGGCGTCGTGTGTTGGCAGCCCTTGTCTGGCGTCTTGTGTTGGCAGCCCTTGTCTGGCGTCTGTGTTGGCAGGGGAAAGTCGAAAGCATTAACTTTCTTGACATCTTTGATGTAAACAGCAGCTACACTCCATTTTCTTTTAATCTTATAAGTTTTAAATCTCCTGTGGAGGCTTCTGGGCCGCCTCACTGGAGGAGTCGAACGTGGAGGTGTGGGATGACGTGAAGGTGTGGGATGACTTGCAGGTGTGGGATGACGTGAAGGTGTGGGATGAACGTGGTAGATGTGACATAAACGCGGTGTGGGATGAATGTGGCAGATGTGGGATGAACGTGAAAGGTGTGGAATGAACGTGGCAGGTGTGAGTTGAACACAACAGGTGTAGGTTGAACGTGACAGGTGTGGCTTTAAAGCATCACATCTGGACTGACTGATCAGGCTGAACTTACTGGCCAATAATATATTAATTTATCGAAGACTCCAAAGAAATGTATCCGAACCTCAATACCTCCCCAACCCTCCCATATCCCCCCCTGACGTTGTATGACCCCTACGCATTCAGAGCTTCTTCGCGAGTGTGCTGTAACACCAGAAGACTTTTAGTAGTTATACTCCAGGTATACTTCAGGGATACTACAGGGATACTCCAGTACTGGAGAAGGAAGCGGAGGTGTTATCCGAAGGCTGGGAAGGAGGATAAAGTCGGCAGTCAGGCTGGTGGCTTAGTTTCTAAGGCTTAAAAGCCCATCGAGGTACACAAATGGCACTTCAAAGTGGTAGAGTATTAGGCGTCGTCTATATAACATAACGTTTCGGATATAGTGTCTCTGTTTCTTGACAAGGGTCATTAAGGCTGTATCTCTCGCGTACCACACCTGTCCAGGTGTTGTGTGGGTGAGATATAGGAGTGATATCTAGCTATATATATTCTATAACGGGATATTACTTCTCGATGTGTATATGTTATATTATATTATATATATAATATATATTATTATTTTATATTTATATATATATTATATTTTATATTTAAAATTATTATTTTATATATATAAAATTTTATATATATGAGATTCAGAGCTCAGCGTGGCGTCAGAGGGGAAATGCTTGTGCATACTTGGCTCGCGTCGCTCGGAGGAGTGAGGAAATCATGATTTTTAATACATTGTACCATTGATATTCATGTTTGTGTTTTCTTTAAATGTATTCTGTTTATTAATAAATGTTCATATGAATATCATATATAGGGGTGGTAGGAGAAGAAAATATTCAAACAGCTCCAGGGAGAACCTTGAGTTTTCCCTGAGGAAACGTTATATGTCTTTCTATGAGGATGAGGTCCCCAGTCAGCTATAGAAGTTGTACTTCCTATATATAATAAATATATATATGTACGTATATATATATATATATATATATATATATATATATTATATATATATATATATATATATATATATTATATATATATATATATATATTATATATATATATACAATATATATACTGCTGTTAGGCTTACACTGCATACACATTGAGATATATATCCCTTAGAATTTATATAAAGTGCCATGGGAAGGGAGCAACCCCATTATGTACCTCAGTGCCAGGGATAATAATGTTGGGAAGTGCAGTAGAGCTTGCCATCTAAGTACAGAACAGCTACAAGTACAGGACAGCTACAAGTACAGGACAGCTACATATACAGGAGAGTTACAAGAACAGGAGAGCTACAAATACAAGATGGCTACAAGTATAGGATGGCTACAGAGTTAATTAGATCAGTGCTGGGGAGATAACATACCGATCTCGTGTGACATTTTGTCAGGTTCCGTGGACAGTGAGCAGATGCTCATGACAGTTGCCATAAATTTCTTGCTAGACAACTGCAATAACAAACCAGCATTATCATTCATTGATAACAAGGACAAATTCTGTTGTAAACATGATAACGGAGGCCTGAGGCTGAGTACATATTCCGGGGCTGGAGGAAGAGGCGGAGTTAGCCAGGCGAGTAGAAGACGAGTAGTGGTTGATTGTATCAGGATTTATACAAACAGGAGGAACAAGTATGGGAGTGCATGGGACGTGAAAATGATACAAAATTGAAAACAACAGATGTGAGAATTATTACAATGTTGTATAGATTGTAAGAATGTTTCAGATTCAAAGTTTTTTTATTTTAGTAGTGTACCAAGGTACTGTAGCTGACATGTAAACAGACTATTGTTAGTGCAAAGAGAAACTCAGTGGTATGTTAAGAAGTTTTAAGCAAAAATGTCGGACCAGGTAGAAAGGCAAGCAAAAAAAAAAAAAAAAAACTCTGAAGAGTCGTAAAAAAATACATTATACGAAGCAAGATTAATTACAAATCCAGGAAACGTTTATTACTGAAACAGCCAATAATTTGGTTAAGGTGAAGAGTGTGAACGAGGTTGTTGAGCCGCGTATGTCTCTTCTTAGTCGGTGTGACTGATTTTTAATGATATTTTTGTATTTAGAATATGAAATAAACTTTCATTTACAGATAATTATAAACCAATGTTTAATATTTTATGAAAACCAGATGTTGGTCGTCCACCAGCTCTGCACCGCGTCTGCCGTCTCATCTATGTCAAGCCTCTGGCTGGCCTTCCACTAT